TAAAGACATGTAATTTGCCTCTGTTAAAAAAATCATGAATTCTGAAAAGGTACACGCAATGGGAAAAACATGTCTGTTCAAACGTATAAACAATCGAACTTATTATTTTATGTATGATCAATGCTATTTTGTTAGTGAAGTCAGCAATCAAACCAATAGCGAACATGTTGTATTTTGCTTGGACAAAATCATATAGAAAAAACTCTAATATCAGAGCAAATGCACACATAGCTTCTAGTTCATGCCTATGTATTTTTTTTGGTAAATTTTTTCTACTCTTCTTTTTATTGCACACTTACTAAATATATATATGCATGGGTAGGTGAGACAATATTTTTGAATGTGATGCTTGGATTTTGTTTGTGTGCTTTTTTTTTTCTTAAAATATATGACTGGCTTCGTGTGCATGAAATGCACAAGTCTTCCAAATTATTTAAAATTTGATTTTTGCTGAAATTTTATACTAGCTTCATACTAAAATATGATGTTTGCCTATGACATGATGCGAAAACACCGGAGTAGCGCAACCACAGTTGTTATTAGTGTAAATGCTCTTAATATATTTGGCTGTCCAGACTCGGCTATGCCATACAGTAACACTAGTTTCATGAAGAATATTCATAAACACCATATTATACAATAATTGATTATGCTTTATATATTAAGTTTTTATTATTATATTCTTATATTAAATACAATAGAATTATTAACTAAATTTTATTACTTAAATTACATAGAATATAAATCTTATAGATAAATCTTAGATAACTAATTATACATTAACTTAAATTAACTAGAACTATTAACTATATTTAATTGCATATTACTTATAACTGTTTAAAATGAGTTTATTTATTTAGGGTGAATATTTTTGTTTCATTGCTAATTTTTCTAAACATTTATAAATAGTATATTTTTTATTAAAAGTCAAATTTTTGCAATTGTTTTTAATATGCTTGTAAATTTTGCACTATATTAACAACTTTTTAGGTTTAAAAAACCCTCAGTACTGCCATTTAAATAGCATTGAAGATATCATAAAGTTATTAAAAATAAAAATTACTTATTAATTTGATATAACTTATTGAAAGTATTAATTAATATAATTAAGTTAATGTTTTACACAGAAGTTCAAATATTTACAATTTCTTTAATTTTTTGTTAAATTTTACACTATTTTTTTTAAGTACCCAGTTTGATTTAGCACTTTTATTGAAAAGTTTTTTAACAAAATTTCATTGTGGCACCCGTAAATCGGATCCTTAAATCAATTATTGTTATAAACTTTTTTATTTCTTTTTTTTATAGTGTTTGCTAAGATTTCTTTAATACCATTTAAATGGTATTCTGTTTTGAAAAAGAAAGTAAAAGGTGATCACCTTTTACTAAAAAATCTTTCTGACGATCTCTATAAAATGTGCGTTTTGAAATTTTTAAAAAAATATTTGAAAAGTATTATTATGTAAATGGCATTAAAAAAATTATAATAAATAGTATAAAAGAAGAAATTAAAAAAAATGTACAAAGCGAAAATTGGTTTGAGGAGCCGATGTGCGGTAGCCATCGCGAAAGTTTGTTGGACTTCTTAATAAAAGTTCTATTATATAAGAACTCAAAGTGGCTACTAAAAAGTAGCCAAGATAATGCAAAATTTAAAAGTAAATTATAAAAATTGTAAAAATTTATATTTATGTAAAAATATTAGTCTAATAATATTTATGAATGATTAGAAAAATTAACAATAAATAATATTCACCCTTATATAAGTAATTTTATTTTAAATAGTTATAAGTAATATGCAATTAAATATAGTTAATAGTTCTAGTTAATTTAAGTTAATGTATAATTAGTTATCTAAGATTTATCTATAAGATTTATATTCTATATAATTTAAGTAATAAAATTTAGTTAATAATTCTATTGTATTTAATATAAGAATATAATAACAAAAACTTAATATATAAAGCATAATCAATTATTGTATAATATGGTGTTTATGAATATTCTTCATGAAACTAGTGTTACTGTATGGCATAGCCGAGTCTGGACAGCCAAATATATTAAGAGCATTTACACTAATAACAACTGTGGTTGCGCTACTCCGGTGTTTTCGCATCATGTCATAGGCAAACATCATATTTTAGTATGAAGCTAGTATAAAATTTCAGCAAAAATCAAATTTTAAATAATTTGGAAGACTTGTGCATTTCATGCACACGAAGCCAGTCATATATTTTAAGAAAAAAAAAGCACACAAACAAAATCCAAGCATCACATTCAAAAATATTGTCTCACCTACCCATGCACATATATATTTAGTAAGTGTGCAATAAAAAGAAGAGTAGAAAAAATTTACCAAGAAACTTACATACGCATGAGCTAGAAGCTATGTGTGCATTTGCTCTGATATTAGAGTTTTTTCTATATGATTTTGTCCAAGCAAAATACAACATGTTCGCTATTGGTTTGATTGCTGACTTCACTAACAAAATAGCATTGATCATACATAAAATAATAAGTTCGATTGTTTATACGTTTGAACAGACATGTTTTTCCCATTGCGTGTACCTTTTCAGAATTCATGATTTTTTTAACAGAGGCAAATTACATGTCTTTATATTTCTATGTTTTTGGCTCAAATATAATAGGTGAAAATGCACACACAGTATTTTATGAACCCTGTATTTTTGAATATAGAATGATAGGGCCACAGTGTATTAAAACCGCACATGTCAGCATTTTATTTTTTGCACATGTATGAAATTTGTTTGAAATCGTTGTCACTTTATTTCTGTTACAGCAATTAATTATCAACCTTGACCGTGAACATGACATTTCAATAAATTGTGGTCATTTCCCAACATACACTATTTTCTACATACATACATATCTACATGTATGTTCGTATGCATGTATAAGGAAAATTGTATAGGCACCACTTTTAATTGGCATTATGCAATATAAAACTCAAAAAACACATTTTCCATTTAAAACTGCACTTGTTTTTTATATAAAATAACTCACCATCACAATCGGTTATGACGGCATCAAAAGAATCCAGCCATTGGGTCACCTTGTCTTTTGGCTGCTCCAACAAATTCACTGCACTTTGTCGAAACATTTTATTTAAGTCAGCACTTAAATTCGGTCTTTCCGCTGGCGCACAACTAAAATTACAATTAAATGTAATGCGATAATGAATTAAATAAATTTCATTAATTATTTTAATAAATTAACGAGCGAGTTTCATTAACGTGCTGCGATTAGCGTCACCGAACCGTTTGTGGAAAATGTTTGTATTGTGTTTATTGATTTTCTCATGCTCACACTTCTATCAACAAAATGCGAAACGATTACGAAATTACTGTTTATAAATTACCTCAAATCGAAATCGCTCCCCTTCAAAACACTAAACTTTCTATTGCCCGTCCAGTTGTCGCTGCTGCTTTTGGTGGTGTCGCTGCTTCTGCTGCTGCTATAGGCACATGAATTTTCAAAATTTCTGCTCGTATATTTTAATACAATTCCATTTTTCAGCATTTGAATCACTGGTATTATGCTCCATTGTTGCTGCGATTTGATTATGCGTGCGAGAAGTAACATTGGTTTTACTTTTTGCTTTGTCTTCGTTTTCTATGAATGACGAGAGCAAACTATGTTACTCTTTGAATGACAACCAACTGTCAAATTATATGAGCGCGTATTTCAATGCACAATACGCGTTTTGCGTATGTGTGTGTATGTGCGTGTGTGTGAGTTGTATGCAATCAGCTGAGCTATTTGACCTTGCAATTGTTGACTTTGTTTTGATTTGCAATTTAAAATTGAAGGCAATGTTTGTTTAATTGTTTAGGAAATCTTTTTAAAGTAAATAAATCAATACAGAATTATTTTAGTAACGAAAGATTAATGAGAGAAATATAACTAAAGTGTATATTTATTTGAAATTATTTATTAGTTTAAAGAACTTTTGCAAAAATAAAACACATTTCTTGGACTGCAGTGCTTCTATACCCAATAAGCGCACATACATACATATATTCGTACAAATTGTGAAATCTTAATGTCAACGGCCGGGAAGTTTATATATAAATAAACATTTGAATATATACAATATTAACAAACAAACGACTATTTAGGTAATATTTTGATGACGTTCATTATTCATATGTTTGAAACATACATACATATTTAAACATTACTCTTAATCTGGTGTTGTAACAACAATAAATTGTTTACATATGTATGTATAGAAATATATATATATAAATATTTATATATATATATATTTATATATATAAATATTATTATATATATATATTATATATATAATATTATTATTATTATTATATATATAGTATATATATATATATATATATATATTATATAATATATATATAGTATATATATATTATATATAAATAAATACACTCAGCAAAAAAGCTCTGCTTACAGAAAGAAAATTTGTTTTCTACGTATTAAAAATTATTAATTTTATTTTTCATTAGTACTTTTGTTACTTATCTTTTGTTACATATATTTGCGTCAGCTATATATATATACAGTGGCTCACAGCTTATTTGATGCAAGCAAAAATTTTTTGGAAAATGTTGTTTATTTCAAAATATTTTGCAAAATTAAAAAAACAAAGTATGCAGAGTTATTGTTTATAGTGTGTTTATTCATTTAAAAAAAAACCCAAAAATCTTCTTCCATTCCTTAGTAATGCATCAAAAACCAAAACCAAATGAAAAATTCATGTCACAGCTTAAATGATGCAGTTAAGAATACCGTTATTTTTGTCGCCAGATTACACAGAAATTAAAATATTTTTATTCTGCGATCATTTGCAATCTAGTTTTTGAGCGAAAATATTATAAAAATTAAAGTGAGTGCATTTTGTTAACCATGGGACGGCGCACATCAATTGAAAAGCGTGAGTTAGTGTTGGAGTACTTTAAAAAGGGAATTCCCCGGCGTAAAATTGGTGAAATGGTAAATATAAGCTCTTCAACAGTTCAACACATAATTGAACGCTTCGTACATGAAAATCGCATAGAAAATAAGCGACGAAAGGCTCCCAATAAAATTTTTACAGAAAAAGAATCGAGGTATTTGGTAAACCAAATTCGAAAAAATCCAACAATTAGCGCTCCAAAGTTGACAGACATGGCCAAAATAGATTTTGGAAAAATTTGTCATCCTGAAACCGTCCGCAGAATATTGAGAGAATCAAATTTCAATGGAAGAATAGCTGTAAAGAAACCTTTCGTAAGTGCAAAAAATAGAATTAAAAGGTTGCAGTTTGCACGAGAGCATTTAAATAAGAGTACAGCACTTTGGCGAAATGTACTTTTTGCAGACGAAGTCAAAATAAACTTATTTGGATCAGATGGAAAATCTTATGTATGGCGCGAAGTCAATTTTGAGCTCAAACCACAAAATTTACGTGCTACCGTAAAACACGGAGGTGGTAATGTTATGGTTTGGGCATGTATGTCATCAAATGGAGTAGGAAATTTGGTCTTCATCGAAGAATCTATGAATAAAAATATTTACTTAAAGCTTCTTCAAGAAAATTTGATTCAAAGTGCAACGAAATTGCAGATTGCAGATGATTTTCGCTTTTGCCAAGACAACGACCCTAAGCACAAGTCACCATTAGTACAAACGTGGTTGATATGGCAATGTCCACACATTGTCCAAACTCCTGCACAATCACCAGACTTGAACGTTATTGAAAATTTGTGGTCCGTTTTGAAGACAAATATCAGAAAACATGACATCCGCAACAAATTTGACTTAAGAAACGCTTTACAGCAAGAGTGGAGTAAAATTAGTCCAGATTATACCAAAAAACTGGTTGATTCCATGCCAAAAAGGCTTCATGCTGGTATTACTAATAGGGGATATCCAACAAAGTACTAAGTACTTAGAATTAGTCCGGAAGTTTGTAAAAATATTAGTTTTTTTGATGTTGCATCATTTAAGCTGTGACATGAATTTTTCATTTGGTTTTGGTTTTTGATGTATTACTAAGGAATGGAAGAAGATTTTTGAGTTTTTTTTTTTAAATGAATAAACACACGATAAACAATAACTCTGCATACTTTGTTTTTTTAATTTTGCAAAATATTTTGAAATAAACAACATTTACCAAAAAATTTTTGCTTGCATCAAATAAGCTGTGAGCCACTGTACATAGACATTCCGCCTTCCGAATGAAAACCAGTATGTTAGCCGTTGAGTAGCTCCTAATGTCAAAGGGAAGAGTAGTTTTCGACCCAGTGACCTACTCCTGACCCAGATCAAGGCTAGGTAGTCAAAGAAAATGTGACTGAAAGTCTCGTCTGCTTCTAAACAGAGTTGAATATTTAAACAACACCTATAAATAAATATTTTATTATTGGTAGACTACTGTCTGTTATTTTTTTCAATTAATTATTTTTTAACTTAATTTAGAAAATTTTTTATAATTATATAAATACATAATTACTGTTAGACTAGATCGTTAAATTATTAACCGAGATCATGCATAGATCTAAGTGGCATATTATAATTGCAGTCACGTTACGGCGATTATTGTTGCTTTCAATGCAAAATGAAGTGAGCTGTCAGTGTCAAATTTTCTTTTTGCATTGAAAGCAACAATAATTGCAGTGGCGTGACTGCAACATAATATGCCGAAGCCAAAGATCCGTAGCGACACCACATGACAATCCTTAAATTCGATTACAGAGGGTGCATGCCAATTAAGGTGTATGGGTCATTAGCGATTTTTAAAAGATCATCTAAATTTGTTTTAATTATTAGTCATTTAAAACTAAAAGAATTGTACTCGTTTCTACTCTTGTAGATCAAAACAGTGAACAATGTCATAACCCCTAAGTAAGTCTGTTCTTCTTTGAAACTAGTATGTACCTAGTATTAAATATATTACAATAAACTATAATATAATACATAGCAAAGATATTAACCATTTTTTATTATCATTACCAGACATTTTTATAACCAGACAAATCAAAATAATTCTATCTATAGTGACAATGATGATACAATGAATGCTCTCCTCACGGACACACTTATTGGAGAGACACTCTGATTGGACAGAGTTTTCTATTCTACGGACAGGGAATCATATCGAAATTCCCTGCGCGTAAATTTTTTTTTAAACTTGATTTTCTATCATTATTTAGAACAACAAGTTCCAAGTTCCGATATGTGGCTATAACTTTTTACTATAATTTTATATTAATAACTTCATAACATATATTGGTATAATTTTAATCCAAGTTGTGCAAAATATTAAAAGTTATATTCTATGAGACCTTACATACATACAAATTTAAGGATATGGATAAATCAGTTATATGATCGATTCACAATGCAAATTGCTATAACGGAGTTTCAGAAAATGGAGAAATTTCTGGTATAGATATCGATATGTTTAAATTAGTTCGAGACCTTACAATGCAAATTGCTATAACGGAGTTTCAGAAAATGGAGAAATTTCTGGTACAGATATCGATATGTTTAAATTAGTTCGACTCAATTCCTCGATTTTATAAGAAATCTTCAAGTTTATTTTATTACAAACAATATTGCATTGGTCACCAGGTAAAATACTTAACAGTGTCAACCAAAAAACTATATATATATCATAAGATCAACCAATATTTACAAAAAAAAATTTTTCTTGATGTTTTTCCTTTTACTAACAAGTTGGAAGACTTATCATTCTAAACACAACCACTCTGACATATGTGATGTGTATTAGTTTCAAATCAGATGGGTTATCTAAAATTAAAAATAAAATATACTGTTATTAACTCTATTTTTTACTCTATCTGTGATATATATCTAGAATATATAAACAGTACTTTTAAAAAGCTATATAAATAGAATTTAGCGCACGACATGTTTCGTGTGATTTTTGTGATAGGGAGTAAAATAAGAGAAACCATCAGAAAATAGGTAGAGATGTTAAGTCTAAACATATCTACCTAAGCGAGCCGTAATAGCACTCAAATTTATCTACATATTTAAGCATGTAAACAGATACGCGACATCATGTCGAGTGTACCTGTAGCTGGAAACACATATTTTGAATGGACATATTTATTCGTGAGAAGTAACTGTCCAGTACATGGTTATATACTAACCTAATTTTGGCAAAAACAGTTCTTATTGTACAAAAGAAACGTCTTTTATCCCTTTAATATCAGGAGAGGGCATATGGAGAGCTTAATTGTTAGAGAACAGTAATTGCGTAAGGATAGTGCATTGGTATGAGTGTCGAAATATCAATATCGACTGCCAACAGTCCAATTCACTGCTGTTATCACTTTCGCGGCAAGAGTCATTATATTTATGATATGAAGAGATGAATCAAAATATGCAACAAGCAGGAATGTCTTTATTTACTATAACGCCATATGAATGATTGAAGAAAGCAGAACTTGTTTCGACAGAAACACCTAGTGTTTTTTGATCTCAATACACTCCGGCTTACGTCTAGGAACTTCTCATTCAAAGGCAGAAAAGTAGTTATATGCTCGTGTTGGCTTCTCTTGTTCATTTTATGTGTCATCTTATTTTTGATAACACTTCATATTGGTTGTGCTTCTTGATTTCAAGAGTATCCAGGCTTATGTCCAGGAACTACACATTTTCACTGGCAACCCAGTGCCGTTCGATCCTGTTGGCTTCTATTGTTTTATGTGTCATCTAATGTTCTTAGATGCTGATTTTATAAAGGAACCCTATAGAACCCTTTTCGAGGTTTTATGTACCAAGAACTAAAAATTATAAAAGCATATTAACATACGAAAAATGTATCAACTTTTACTTTTATGTCATCGATTTGAGCTTACTTTGAAATTTCTACTAAAACCTTATGTGGTGTATAAGAATATAAAACAGTGATTCATATTAAATTC